TATTTCTAACGTATAAAGGAGAAAAGAATGTGTTTTCTAAGGTAGAACAGTATCTAACCACTGTGCCCTTTGGCCCTGAAGTTAGACTTTTATTCCTTGACTTCAAAGACTTTCATAATTACCGCCCAAGCGGTGACTTGTCTTATTGATACGCATACATGTACGGGACAGTAACAGGTTAATAGCATCTGTCGATTGTGGACCAATAGTCATGTGCTTCCCAGAAGTCTCCTTCAGGGACTCATTCAAAGTTAGGTTTGTGGTTTTTCATATGAGGAAGGAGCACATGGGATCCCTCTCTCCCTGCCAAACTCGTTTAGTCAGTCTCCCCTGAATAGGACCTGGGCTTTCCTCACCTGACTGTTTATGTCTCCCCACTCACCTGGAATGCCCTCCTCATCCCTCCAAGCCAAACTCCACTCCTACCTTGATCGTAAAACCCTCATCAAGGATCCATTGCAATTTTTATCTTTGTAATTTTGGGGGGAATTAATCATTACACTTGTAGAATCCGGGAGGGGACTCTAGAGAATATATAGTCCTATCCCCTCATTTTACAGAAGGGGACATGAGGGTTCCCATGGTCACATACTACGGTCACAGAATGAGGTCTGGGGTCCAGGTCTTCTCACTCATTAATTAGCAAGCATTTGTTTATTAGGCTCCGTAAGCCATGTTCTTTAGATAAGGGAGAGACTGTCTCAAGTCTTAGAGCAAGTAGCAAATTATTTCTTTAATTTCAACAGCATTATTAGAAATGATACTGAGAGAGAATCAGGGAAACTGTTTACCCTAATGACAGGTAATCTTGAAAGATACTCAAAAAGACAAACTTTTTATTGTTATCACAGGGGAATTAATCCCATTTTTGCTTTGGAGATAATGTAGAAGATTTATAGATGTGAATTTTATCAAATTTATTCTTTATCTTTCTTCATGCCAAGATTCTTACTTGGCTCCTTTATAATTTTAGTTGATTTTTATTGTAAACACTAAATCACTCCCTGGGATAATGTGGCTAGAATTACATGCAACATTCTAGGCAACGTCATATTATGATTTGGTATAGATGTATTATTTTTCATTTGCTGACAAAGAACCTTTTTATTTGTGACCGACTTTCTGTGGACATTTTTGATCTAAGCAGTCCTTTGAGCTGATATATCATAGCTTTATAAAGAATCCTAGCTTCTTTTCTAATTAGATCTTACTGGAAGCTTACACCCAGTTTTTCCAACAGTTTATAATAATTCCTTCTGAATGTATTATCTCATTAGTTGATGCTGGATCTCAGGGGCCATTTTTTTGTCTTCTGAGTAAGAACTTTAAGTTACCATTTATTAAATGTGGTATGTTCCAAGATGGGTACTTTACCTATCTTATTTTATTAATCATCATAACAATCAGTTGAGGTAGTTAATATTATCCCCATTTTATAGATGAGAAATCTGAAACTTAGAGACATTAAGTAATTTGCCCAAAGTCTTTCGGCTCTGAAATAACAAAGTCAGGATTCAAACACAAGTGTGTCTGACTCTGAAGCCAGTGTTTTTAACAAAGATGCTTACAAAACCTTATGCGATTCTCCTTCAATTTAACAAGAACAAGTTCACTTTGTACTATCCACAAGAGCTTAATTTTATCTATAAACCTAGAGACTTAATAACTTATAGCTTCCAGAAAATTTATTGAAAATTAAGATAAATCCAACCCTGGCACCAACTCTTGGGTACTCCTCTTTTTCTTTTCTTTATAGAAAAGTATATGCTTATCTTTGTGCACTAAGTAGTATATTAAGCTAGTTTCTCATTGCCACCGTGGATGAATAAGTCAGCTATTGCTGCATAACAAGCAACTACAAGCTATCAATGACATACCGTGAGAAGCATTTAGTTCTTGATCATGTGTCTGCAGGTCAGTTGGGATTTGACTGATCAAGGCTTGTACTGGCTTCTGGCCATGGATTCGTTTTTGTTTCCTTCTGAATTTGGGCAAATAAAATTGCAGGTTAAAACCAAAAATAACCCAAGCCCATTGCCGTAGAATTGATTCTGACTCATGGTGAACTCATGTCATCCAGTTTAATTTGAATTTCAGGTAAACAACCAATAATTTTTTTAATATAAGTATGTGTGTTAGTTATATAGTACTGCTATAACAGAAATACCACAAGTGGATGGCTTTAACAAAGAGAAATTTATTCTCTCACAGTTTAGGAGGCTAGAAGTCTGAATTTAGGGCGACAGCTCTAGGGCAAGGCTTTCTCTCTCTGTCAGCTCTGGGGGAAGATCCTTGTCATCAATCTTCCCCTGGACTAGGAGATTCTCAGCGCAAGGACCCTGGGTCCAAAGGACGCAGTCTGCTCCTGGCACTACTTTCTTGGTGATATGAAGTCCCCCTGCTTCTCTGCTCGCCTCTCTCTTTTATATCTCAAAAGAGATTGACTTAAAATACAACCTAATCTTGTAGATTGAATCCTGCCTCATTAACATAACTGCCTGTAATCCTGCTTCGTTAACATCATAGAGGTAGATCTACAACACGTAGGAAAATCACATCAGATGACAAAATGGTGGATAATCACACAATACTGAGTATCATGGCCTAGTCAAGTTGACACACATTTTTTGGGAGACACAATTCAGTCCATAACGGTATGTTCCAAATATTGCATATGTTCTGTATTTTAGCTGGCAGCCCTAGTTCTGATGGTAGAAGTGCAAAGGAGCAATCCCAATCACAGAAACACATTTCACATATTTGCTTGGGTCATGTCCTCAAACTTCCCATTGGCCAAAGCAAGTCACGTGGTGAAGCCCAAAGTCAAGGAGTAGGAGAGGATACTTCTTCCAGGGACATAGGAGGGGGAGAGAGTAAGTAAATATTAATGAAGAATGATCTAATCTATCAGTGCAGGGAATCAATTGTTTTAATAATTTTGTGAAGCTTGGAGAAAGACTTTTAGAACATCAGATTAGATTATATCCACTGGGTCTCCTTCATTCATATGGGTAACTTCTACTCCCCTTCCTGGTTAACCAAAAAGTGTCATTGATTAGACAGGGACTGCCTGATTTCTCTGTAAGGAATGCATTGTCTCCTATTCATTTATATTCGATTAGGTGTTCAAAAAGAAAAAAAATTTCCGAGGAATAGTATCAATTTTATGAAAATAGCTATTGATTTAATTAAATATTTCATTAGAAATTCTAATCATTGCCTGATGTAAATATAGACTATTCCAGTAACTGGTGAAATTCTATCTTGGGAAAAATATAATTGAGGGACTTCAGCAACATAGATACTAAGCTACTATCAGTTTCCCCTCTGGGGGATAGAGTTTGTTAAAATAACACATTTCTGAGCTTAAAAGAAAGAAAATAAAACCCCAGGTGCCGGAATGCAGTGGAAACTCAAGACCAGATTGTTCACAGTCTTTGAGCCGATGCTGCATCTTGCTGGGAATATAGGTTAATGGCCCAGGGTTATGATTTTAATGCCCTCACAGGGCCAAAAGACATTACTTTGGGACCATGAAAAGCTGAGACCCTGGAAGGGATTTCCCCTCTGAGACAGAACTTGAAAAATTTAACGTACTGACCAAGAGAAGTCCAATGAATCTTGTTCTTTGGGGAATGTTGATGGAAGAAAAAAAAAAAAAAATCTATATTCAAAACTGAAAGCTTATACCATAAATGGATTTGGAATACAATCTTAGACTTCTATGTGGTATGAGAATCCCAAGGTGAGAAATTAATTTTCTCAGACTAGAGAATTTCTTAAATTACATATATCTGATATAGCATTTATTTTCAAAATGACTTAAACATTTTGAAGTTTTTCCTGTATCTTCATATAGAGTATAATTGCCTACATACCGAGTAAAAAGATTATAAAAGTCACAGAGAACCAAACCAATGAACTCCTATGCGAGGAGAAGTTTACTGGAAACCAGAGAAGCAATAAAACACGAAAAATTCACTCTAGGATAAAATATGGACTATAACTGGGCCCTCAGATCTGGAGAGTAAAATCAGTGCCCCTACAGGTACAACAGGTAATTTCTACCCATTGAGAAAGATAATCCAGAGTCCAAAAGTAAAAAGGAAGAATGAGAAATGTGAAGGATAGTGACGATTTCTTAGCTAGTGGATAGCAAATTAATTTGTATTTGGTGCTAACATGGAAGGGAAAAGATAACAAGGGAGAGTTCAGACTGAACCAGAATGTGCTCACAGAGGCAGTGGCCCAGAGATTGGCTCACTGGAATCATGAGCCCATCTCCACTGAGCAATATCAACGAGATTCTACATGTTCCATAGCACAAAAAGGATCTACATCTGTGGAGACAGTGGTAAAAGGATACAGTGGATACAGGGCAAGGGACTCAGCAACAGGAAGAGGCACAGCAGGTGGGAT